ACCCCATACGTGGACGATTTGGCGTGCATAGCGCGCCATATACTCTAGTGTTTATAAATATTGTAAATTGAATAATTTCAGCTTAGTGGATTGGATATCTCTAAAGATCACATCCTGGAACTCGCTTGTCTGGTGACTGATGAACAATTGAATATTAAAAGTAATGATTTTCATTTAATCATCAATCAGCCTGACGAAGTGTTGGATAGTATGGATGAATGGTGCACAGAGCATCACCAGTCGGTGAGTTTAAGATATGCTGCTGAGTACATCGTTATTAATTTATTAATTTTTATCTCCCCTTCAGATTACACGAAGAATTGCACGAATAATGATTTCTTCATCTTTTCAGACTGGACTTACTGATGCTGTCAGGAGGAGCACAATCTCTCTTCGTTCTGCGGAGCAGCAATTATTAACTTTTTTAAAAAAATATGTACCTGAAAAGTCCAGCCCTTTAGCTGGAAATTCGATATACATGGATAGGCTATTCCTGAGAACTCATATGAAAATTGTAGATGAATACTTGCATTACAGAATCATCGATGTCTCGACAATCAGTGAACTCGCTAAGTAATTAATCATATTCAATCATTAATTATGACTTGGGATACAACAAAAGCTTCAAAGTTAACGGACATCACCTGATAGGTTCACAAGAAATGGAGGAGTCCAGTTTTTCAAGTTTAAAATATTCTCCTGAAAAGCTTGACGACTTCATGTGGATGCAGGGAACCTTGAGGAGATGTTTGATAAACTTTGGAGCTCGTGGGCTATTTTATTTCTCCAGGATAATTATTCCATTCCAAACCTTTTGTGCTCGGTTCTCCCACATGACGGAAAAATAATCATTGAGGAATTTTATTCAATTCATTGAATAATCGTATAAATCGTATAAATTAAAAAAGAATTATTTTCAGGAGGTGGAATCATTCTGTAGCCTCATCAGCTCCCAAGAAGCAATGTCTACATCGAGCTCTCGACGATGTGCGAGAGAGCATAGAACAATTAAAATATTATAAATCAAGTTTCTTCAAATGCCTACAATAATATTTATTATCTCAATATTTGTACACAATAATTCAATGTGGAAGAAAACAGAAGATTGTCACATAGTCTTAGTCTTGAACAAATAATATCAATACTAAGATAATTAAACAATCAACACTTAAACTCCACCTCATAATATTCAATAATCAATTCATAATAAATATCTATTTTAACTCATCAATTAAAAAATTATAAAATAAATAAACAATGTATGAAAGAAATCAAGAACTAAATTCGTCAATCATGGGAAACTCTTCAAATAAGGAGGGAAAAATACATCCAATAAAATCATATTTCTTGTCTCACATAAATTATGGAAAATTTATTTATTTTTTTGTAATTATAGTCTAACCTTAAGAGTCCGCGTGGCAGACGCTTAAAATTCATGGCAACCGACACGACAAAAAATCCACGTGGATATATCCACGAGCCAATGAAAATGAACTTGGTGGGGGAAAAATAACCGAACCATAAATGCGAGTATTGGCGAAATCCACCGAGTGGTTCATTCGGTCGTGTTCGGTCGTCATGTGAGCCGTGAGGTAAAATTCCAACCAAAAACAGCAACAATGCGAGATTTTCAATGTTACAGTTAAAAATAACCAATTGTTAGTTTTCGATTAATGAGAATTCATCCAGATTGATTTTTAATTGTTCAAAAGTTTTTTTTTTAAATAATTAATTGTGAGAAGTGGGTGACAATCATCCAACGCAAGAGCCAGTTGACAAAATGTGAATGAAGGACCTCGGGTTTAAAAATAGTTAAGGAGATACCCCGTATTTTTTTTTTTCAAGGTAGACAAGCTGTGGATGGTACTCAACAATTCCCAAAACTTATACAATTATTTTTCGCTGATTTTTTTGAAAATACAAATTAAACAATTGAAGGGTAATTAACAGTATGGCATCAAGGGGGAATATGGCCCAAGCACTGGGTACGGATGGCAGTGATTTTACACACAGGGAAAAAATTGCAACACAATATCAAATCAGGTAAGTCAATAATAGAAGTATATTTGAATGGATGATAATGATTTTGTTTGTTTCAGCGCTCTCAATAAGTCAAGACTGAAGAATTGTATATTTTTTCACTACTTCCTATTCTTTGTGATGCTGACGAAATTGTCAGCGGATATCCTAGATCGTTTAGATATATTTATTCTGGAAATTGAGGAGTTACAAATTCCACAGGTGAATCATTATTCTATTGATCATTGCGGGTAATACTTGGTAATTACTTGGTAAATAATTGTGGGTGGAAATACTTTTTTAAATTCTGTGAAGAAAAATTGTGAAATTATTTGATAATTGGTGGCAACTGTTATATTGAATAATAATTGAATAATTGTCATGGAAATTCAAGTTCAAGGCCGTTCAAGTCAGAGATGTCAGTGAGGGTTGCCAGGTGGTGATTTTATCGAAAAATTCTAGATTTTTTCAGAATACGGTAGATCATGAAAAGCTCTAAATAAAATATTAATTGCAGTCTTCGACGTTCAAGAGAAAATTAAAGATTTAATTGTTATTAATGATGATAAACCACCACAAGAGCTTTAACTGAAAAAAAATGTTTGCGAGACTGTAGATGCTAATTAAAAAAATATAGTTGAGATTCTCGATTTATCTAGATATCCCTTTTTCAAGGAAAAAAAGGGAAAATGTAAAGCTTCCTTCTAACTGATCAGTTTTCTACAAAAATGATCTTGCGATATTTTCTTCAGGTCACCGGTTGATAGTGGATTGATTTCACTGTAATATAGACGTATTTTATCAGCTTGGACGGCTTCACTTCTCTTGATGTGATGTGAGTTACCCTTTAAGAATTCCTGATGTTTATTAATAATCTGCTTTATCGATTTTAGCCACTATTATGGGAATACATCTGGTGTTCGAGTTTATTAGTATCACTTCTCGGAGGAGCAGCCGTGAAGAAAAATCAAATAAAAACACTTCAGAGATATATGATTGGTATCTTTGTACTCGGATTTGGTCCGTTGTTTTATGCGTTTATTTATTACATGTTCGATGTTTGGATATATTTGACTGTTGGGAAGACCGACGAAATACAGTTGTGGCAGGTAAAAGTTACTTTTTCATAAAGCGTACAATATTTTTGAGGAACATGAACATGAATAGTACGAAATTCTCAGATTAAATTCATCGGAAATTGTTCGAGGCTTTCCAGTCGATTGTAAATTTCTCCAGAAAAAAATAAAAATAATGATCTAGATATAGTTAAATATTGTTGCTTGTGACTATTTTCAGAATTATTTGATTCACCGTTTAAATATGAAAGAAGTGTTCATAGACCATTAAATAATTTTAAAAAAATGCTGTAGGAAGCTCTTATTAATGTATATTTATTCTGTTTCAGGGATATCCCTATGGATTTTTATGGTACGCCTTCATCCTCCTAGCAACACAAGTCCACGCATGCTCTTTACTGTTCTCCTGGAAATTACTTGTTGCATGGAGATCTCGAAGTACCAAAAAGTACCAATAAATCATATCAAAATAAAAAGGAAACAACAAAAAATGCCAAATCATTGAATATTTATGTTCAATTACTGGATGAAATCTAAATACCTGCCAAGAGTTCGTAAAATAAACGAAACACTTGAATGAAAGAAATTGTTACATTCGCATAAATCAATTAATTAATCAAACGACACAATACGCGTTACTAATAACTCATAAAAAATTATCCTCTGTGACGAAGTCATTTCGAAATAACATTGAGATAATTTGAGGTCAGGCTGAAGTCTCAAAGTCGCGCCGAATTCAACATTTTTCAAAAATATCGGAGCGAGTAATCCCTGTAGTAGTAGGTAATATATTAATTTAAATTAATTTATATTAATTTTTTTTTAATATCATATATCCACGATAGCAGTACTTCAATTACGTTCAAAATTTTTAATTAGTACATTTACGAATTGTTAATATAATAGAAATACAAATTCGTCGCCCATATCATCTCCAGCCACTCACCATTCCACTATTTCACTATTTTTATCTGCGTGCAAAATTTCATCTCGGTCAAAACATTTTTTCCAATTTTTTTTTAAATCATTATTTTTGCAATTTCAAAAAATATATATTGAAGACGCTGTATAAAAAATAATTTATATTTTTGGGAACAGAATAGAGCATAAACACAATCCAATCGATTTCCCATGGAGTGCCCCAAGTATTTAAAAATTTCCCGCGCTTAATAAGTCGTCGCTGCATTGTAAACGGGATCTTAAACCGGAAATGACAATTCCGTCCAGGAGATGTCGCGCCGAAGACGATCGACTCGCGTCTGTTTCATTTCCCACGCCGCGCGTCACCAATTCCCCCGCCAGTGGTGACCACATTATCCTTTTCCCTCCGGCTAATGGAATATAAAAAAATACCACGAATTTTTTATTAGCTGAAACTCCCAGACGCGTGTATAACTTTTCAAATAGAATAAGATTGAATCATCAAAGGATTATAATCAATCACAATGGGTGGCGAAGAGGGTATTGGAGTAACGACCGGTCAGCCGAACCTCTACAAGCAAGATTTGTCCAAGCTGGTGAGTATTTCTTTTCAATTTCATTTCTCATGGTATTTTAACCCAACCCCAAAGACAATCACCATATTTAACCCCTCGAAACGCACAAAATCTCCATAGAATGTGAAAAAAATATCACTGCAAGATCCAGAACCTCAAATAAATCAGTATACATGAAGATATTTCCAGTTTTCGATGTTTTAATGAAACTCCTCCTTTACTCTGATGCAACTGTCAGTCTCAAACTCAAAATCATGGGGTCTTTTTTGTCTTTCAGGATGTTACAAAGTTAACTGCTCTGTCCCCGGAAGTCATCAGCAGACAAGCAACGATCAATATTGGTAAATAAAAAATATTCAAATAATATTTTTTGTTGATAAAAACATTTTTTTTCGGCGATTATTCATTTCTTGGATTTCTTCAGGTACAATTGGTCACGTGGCTCACGGAAAATCAACGATAGTGAAGGCGATTTCCGGTGTTCAAACTGTGCGATTCAAAAACGAACTAGAGAGAAATATCACCATTAAACTTGGTGAGTATTTTTTTACTTCAATAATTATTTTCATATTTATTTTATCACACTTTTCTTAGAATTCAGTTTGTTTATTGCACTGGTATTATTCTTTGAGGGAGATGTGATAATCGTAGGAGATTATTGTAGCTTTGGTGATGATGTTTTATAGATTTTAGATTTTCATTTATTCGATACAGAAGCCTTTACGAAAATTACACATTTTTCGAATCTGAAAAATGCTCGTTTTTGTGTAGATCATTTTTTTTGCTAAATATCTCATTCAAGCACGTGAAATTTTTGGCGATACGTTTTTTTCGTTTTATCAAGAGCTAGCAAATAGATCTCATATGACAGATTCTGTAACTCTCATGGAGTTTGAGGAATTTAATGAAGACATCGGGCAATTAATTCTCCCTGGGTTAGTCATGGTTCAGTTATTTAAGACTTGGATTATCTTTGGTTATCTTTGGGAGAAAAATGGAAAGTACAGAACAATTCTCTGCGGATAAACCAAATTTTTCATTCACAATTCTTCTTATATTTTTTTGCACATTCGAACTACAATAGATTATTTATCTCAAAAGCGTGGGGTGTCTAGACTATTATCAGAGTTCGTTTATACTCATTACCTTTTAAAATATTTAACTTGATAAGCACATCTGAGATAAGTCAATGTTTATCATAAATTCCGCTAGCTTTTAGAAATTGTTTTTTTATACAATCAAAAGTCCGAAATTTACAGGAAAATCTTTGACATTTCTTTTTGCGAACTATGAGAACTAGGAATTTTATACCGGAGAGAAATATTTCATAAAATTTATCCTGACTGTTCAGCGTTGTGGCGATTTCAGAATTTTTACTAGAAATTGCGGTAAATATTGCGTGTGCAATAAAACTTGTGAGGAATGGTAATTTTTTCTCATAATTCTGTAATTTTTACTTCAATTTAAATTCTTAAATCGGCGCATGCTGACAAAAGGTCAGGGTAAATCGTGTCAAAAATTTCTCTGTAATGAAAGGAGAACGTGAGGGGCCACCAAAGCAATCATGAAAACGGTTGTCCGATTTTTTTTTACTGAATCGAGTACTAAACAGTGAAAATTGAGTGAAACATAAAAAAAAAACAAAAAATATAAAAATAACGGGAAAAAAAAATCATAGATTTTCCATTATTTTCGAAGATTAGAAAATACGCATCAATATTTTCCGTTCAATTTCCATAATTAAAAGTAAAAAATAATTTAGAATGCCAATTACTCTCTCCAACGTCAATTATTATCCCGAGAATTGAAAGGAATATTGCAATCAGTCATTTGATTGCACGTGTTTTTATAATTCCCCATCCCAAAAAAAAAAAAAAAATCGTAAAGGATCATCAAATATATTAAATCTTCCGTCGCAAACCACAAAAACTGACTCATCTCACCTGAAATATCTAAAAAAAAAATCAACAAATTCAACTAGAAACAAACCACAAAAGTCCGTTTCCACAATACGATTGACAAAAAAAAAGAAGAAGAACGAAGAGGAAGCACCCAAGGCACCCTCAGCACAACCGGACCGTCTCAGCAACCCCAAATAACTTCGGCAAAAAAGCCTCTGAAAAAAAAAACTAAAAATAAAAATCACAAACATTAAACTAAAATAATAACGAAAAGGCGATGGATGAACCCCGTGAATGACGTCGTTTTTAAATGTTTGGCATTGCAGAAGCTCGTGTGACGGAGTCAACCACTGGAGAATTGGCTGAACTACCAGGTGACACAAGCGAAATGCCAATATCAAGTGACAAACGGGCTAGAGCATCAACAGGACAGTCTCCACCACCGACAAAGCGAGTGAGACGTAGCTCGAGTGATGATAAAACCAGCGAAGACTCAGCCTTTCACGAAACAATGATTGAAGACGATGACTCATGCACCCAACAACAGGATGATTTGATAAAAGACGATGAACGCGAGATATATAAAAAATATGGTTTGAAAAAGCTGAGTATAAAGCTCAACGACATCTACAAAACAGGAGACACCTTGGCAATAACCCCAGAGATCTATGAAGTTGAAAGAATACTGGATAAAAAAATTAAAGATGGAGAGACACTATACTATATAAAATGGAAGAATTGGAGTTCGGATCACAATACGTGGGAGCCAGTTACGAATTTGACAGACTGTCCAGAATTACTAGATCAATTTGAGACTGATAGAACGAATCTTCTTGAAAAGTTTAAAAATACGGAAAATTTTTATCCCGATGTCAAGGCGTTGGAAATTCATATGAAAGAATTAAAACGTTTGAAAAAATCAATTAACGATGTAGAAGTGGAAGAAACGAGTCTATATAAAAATCTTCGCACTCACTTCAAGCCTAATGCTGAGAAGAACGTCAAGTTAATCGAGAGGATTAAAGCTGGAATAATTCATTCGATGTACTGTTCATCGAGGAGGGATCAGCTGGACTCGTTACAAGGATGGGAGACTGAGATCAACACCATCACCAAGGGAAAACCGGTGGTGACAGTGGAAAATACTGTTGACCTGGAAGTGACACCGCAAGACTTTTATTATATTGATGACTATCTTCCAGGTGCTGGTGTTACGATTCCTGATGAGCCACCCATTGGTTGTGAGTGTGATAAATGTGATGCCAAGGCAAAATGCTGTTATGCTCAATACGAAGGGGGATTCCCCTATACCACTGGCTGTCGTGTTCGTGTACCTCCGGGAACACCAATTTACGAATGCAATAAACGCTGTACGTGCCCACCAGATTGTAAGAACAGAGTTGTGCAAAGAGGATCAATGGTTAACTTGTGCATCTTTAGGACAGATAATGGAAGAGGGTGGGGAGTTAAGACCAAAAAATTGATTAAGAAAGGAACTTTTATAACTGCTTATGTCGGTGAGGTAATAACGAATGAAGAGGCTGAGAAGAGAGGAAAAGAGTACGACGCTGCTGGACGAACGTATCTTTTTGATCTTGATTTTAATGAAGTTGAAGAGCAGTGTCCTTACACTGTTGATGCTGCCTTGTACGGGAATATATCCCATTTTATTAATCACTCTTGTGAACCCAATGCTGCGGTTTATGGGGTCTGGATTGACTGTTTGGATCCTAATTTACCCAAATTAGCGCTTTTTGCTACCAAGGATATTCATAAGGATGAGGAGATCACTTTTGATTACATGTGTCAGACGTCCAAGAGCTTTGAGAAGAAAAAAATGACGACTATGGTGGAGTTAAATGCCTCCAATGAGGCACGATTGGCGGGGGATAAGGAGGACGGCATTGTTCAGATACCTGACAACAAAACTAAGTGCAAATGCGGAGCTAAAACGTGTAGACAGTATCTTTTCTGAGATTTAATGAATCAATGGTTTTTAGGGGTCATATCATTCATACGGAGTTATCGATTTAATTGGATTTGTTGATTAATTATATTCATCGTCGATGAAGAATTGTACAATTTTGGGGAAGTGATTGCTGTGGGAGGGATGGGTGGGAGAGGGGA